GGGGGGGGGGGGGGGGGGGGGGGGGGGGGGACTTCGAAAGAACCGCCCCTTTTGCTAGGAAAAGTTCCACTATGGGTAAAATTTGGTCTAGGTACAATAACTTTTTTTGTGGGAAAAGATCAACTTTTTCAGAAAAAGAACCCCCCTTTTGAAATTGCTGGCAACGGGCCTGAATATAAAAGTATTCTTAAAGTTATCCTTGCAGCTTCAGTAAAAGATGATGGATTTTGCACGAACATCTAGAATAAATCAGATTAATTTCGTCATTTTTGTAAAGTTACTGTGAATCGATAACGACATGAGGTGTTATGGTCAGCTATAATCAGTTACGCTGAATATTTTTGAGTTGTTTATACCCCCTTTACACTGGACGGCGTCCTTTCTGCGACCATGAAATTTGGCATCGCTGTGGTCTTAATAAGGAGGCACGAGCATTGATTTGGTATCAGAATGAATGCTCAATAATCGGCCAGTTGTCGGCACGTTAAGTATTATAATTCTTTAACTCTCAAATGGGGCCGAACTGCTGGACGCAGAAGGGATGCCGTCCAGTGTAAAGGGTTCTACTAACAATATGAACGGTGGAATTTGCAAAATCCGCACTAAGCGCCAAAATTACATTTGTCACGGGTGCCGCTCGATAAAATCGTATGCCCTCAGGTAACAAAGGGAAAATCACTTGACGGTTGCTCAGACCAGGGAATTATATCGGATATAATTCCCTGCTCAGACAGAGCCTATTCAGTCTCAGTGCAGCTGCTGTGAACCTACCGTACGGCTTCCGTGAAGATCCATACTGTTACTGTGTACCAGTCAATAACTCAAAAACAAATCTTTAAATATCACATTTATTGTTCACGCACATTTTGTAGCTATCTATTGTGAATTCTGAGGTAAATTCTGGAGTGAATTCTAAGATGAGTTCTGAAGTGAAGTAAAATAGATAGATAATAACAATAATAATAAATAAATATATTACATTAAGTGTACACATAAATGCAAATAAAGAACGGAGAGAGAGAGAGAGAGAGAGATACGAACACGCAAATATCGACAATATGACTAAAACTATGAAATGAAATATATATCTATAGTACTTACACAACATTCGGCAACTTAAGTACACAGTACACAGTAACGTGGCGGCCAAGAAAGCAATTGTCTAGAATGATAACGTACATGTCGACTATATATATATATATATATATATATATATATATATATATATATATTGATATTGATATTGATATAAAAAAGATGACTTTATACTAATATCACCTGACTTAATGAATTACAAATAGGTAACGACGGTTTACAAATCTTCTATATCAAAATAAATTAACAACTAAATATATACATATCCAAAGTGTTCTACGTGTCTTACCTGATTACATTTCGAAGAGAAAAACCTGACCGCACCCAGAAGTGGTGTGCGCCCGCTTTTATAGTGAGCGTTGACAAAAAGTACTCAAATATTCATGACTCTATTACAGCGACATTGCAGTAGGTGTGATAACGTGATATATTTGTCGATGTCGACAACACATACGTTATCGGTACAGTACCCTTCAATTTAAAGCACCAATATGGTCAGAGTAGGGACACGCACAGCTTGAAATTCATGCATTTTATACTATTGTTATGCCACCTAAAACCACCAAAGCTGGAAGGAAATATAGACCAACAACATGTTTAACAATTACGATCGTGGCAAGTCCACCGAACATACAGTGTATAAGGGAACCGTGCGATATCATCTACGATAATGCAACGGCCTACGGGCTTACGCTTTTATTTCATTTTTTTCAAAAGTTTTATCATGAAAAAATCGCACAGATTATGGAGGCCATGAATCCGTGCAATTTCGTAAGATTTTAAAAAGTCATCGCCTGCCTCTGCACATACATAATTTCTTCGTTTGAACAAACCGTTTTTGGATGAACACGGCTCTTGTTGTTGCCTCACCATGCATTACGTTTGAATTTGTCGTATGGTGTAGGGTATGTGCATTTGTTTCACTTTTTATAAATCCAAGGTAAAACTTTTGCTAAACTTCCTGGCCTTTTTCCTAGACTTAGGCCACACTTTTTTAATTTTATGGATGACATCCTGCGCGCGCACCGATTTTCGTCCGTTCTCCAAAA